TGCATCAGAGAGTAGGTTTTTTTCTTCCAAAGATGATTGAAAAGATAAAATAATGATGTCTTGCTGACAACTTTCTTTGTAAGACCCCGCTTAACCATAGTCTTGTTAAATTTGTGTCATGGAGGAATTTCTTTTTAAGTTGCCAATTTATTTCATGGTATTTGGGTAAATCCAGTAAGGTTCATGGTGTACCTTATACTGAAGACCTCAACAGCTGCTTGCCCCAGTGAAATTCCATGAAACTTACCCTCACAGTTCTCTCTCCAGGGTAAGCAAGACACATACAAAAGAGTGAGTACCTTCCGCCCAGTAAGCAGGGCACGCAGCTTCCGCCTTTATAGCAACTGACGCTTAGTACTAATATCACTTTTTTTTTCTTATTTAGTTTTTATTTCACTACTCCAGAACTCGGGAGCCAGCACATCCAGTTAAAACCGGGGTCAGTATTTTATCGTAATCATCTTTCTGTAAAAGTGACGCTCCCCTGCATGCCTTTGATCCCTTCCTAACTAATTTGTGCAGACGAGCACAAAAGCCGGGGGCCCCCAGACACCCTGTGGGCTGCACAGCTTCCTGGGTGCTTTTCCCAGGGCTGAGAGATTGTCTTCTCCAACTCTGGGGTGGGGGTGGTGGGTGGCTGACAGATCTGAAAAGTTAGAGAATAAGTTACAGAAAAGGAAAAGTAAGAAATTACTTTTCCTTGTGCACTTAGATGTACAAGAAGAGCCTGGTAAACGCTGTGCTCTCTCTACTATGGTGCTTTATCTATTGTTTCTAATTACTCTCTGTTTTTTAAAATTCGAAAAGTGTTTTGAGATGAGTAGAGTACCATCCCCCAACAGTGATCTGTGGATATGTGTCTTCCATCGCTGTCATGTGTATGTACAATGGGAATAAAAACCATCACCTCTAACTTTCTTATTATAAACTTGAGATACCCTCAGGAGCAGCATATGTAGGTGAATTTCTGTGGGGTGTCATTTGAGGAATATTGGGGAGGTCATAAAATATAATTTTTTTTTCCTTTTTGTCTTTTGTTCGTGGCCGGTAACGG